TATTTTCTCAGCTAATGCCTTTTCAGTTAACTTAATGCTGCGCTTGTGACTTTCCACTTCATTATCACCCTGTTCAACATTTTTGTCCATTTCCAACATTGTAAGATCCAGTGAAAGTTATCTTCGTGTAGACGCAATAAAGTCTCGCGACAGCTCAGGTTCGCGATAAAGTTCACCCGAGGACACAACACGAAAGTAGGTCAAATAGTCACGTGACGGCTCCCGAACGCGTGAACGAGTTCAAATATACTCCACGGCGTTACCAATGCATTGGATTTAATGTGTGCACACAGAAAAGGCCTTGGGTGTAGCGCTACACATACCTCGATCGTTGGGCGCCTTTGTGTGATCCAATGTTGTCCAGCGATGATCTGCGGTGCGCGGTCCTGCAGCTCGGTCTGCTCCACATAGCCGCATATAACCGCAACCACCGCTCCACACCGTGGCTCGTGTACGGGCTCCACGTTTCCAAAGTCTCTTCTTCCAAAGTTTACTTTACTTCATTTGCGCAGTCAAATCGGCTGGTTTTTGACAGTATACTAGCCAGCCCAATGCTGCTAGTGTGAGGCTGTAGACCCAGGCTTGTTGATGACGCGCTAAGCGGCTGCTGTGGTTGCTCTGTTGTGCTCAATAAAATCCTCCAAGTCTTCAAAGGGTACGATGCAATAATCTTCATTTATTTAACAGTGCTATTAAAGGGATCCACAGTGGTATCACACGAGAAACAGTGGAAAACAAACTCCGCTTGTGCGGTCAAAAACCAATTTGCCCTTCTGGGTCACACCTGCACTCAACCCTGCGCTCATGATTCATATAAAAGATGAATGCGCCCCCTCATGGACACAAAGACCAATTACACAAAGAAAAACACATATTTGGCTCCTATAAGGATCTCATGGTCGACGGTGTCAAAGGCAGCACTCAGATCTAACAAGATTAAGATTGAGACTTTGCCTGCGTCAGTGTTCAGCCGGATATCGTTTGTAACCTTGACAAGAGCAGTCTCAGTGCTGTGGTGGGGTCTAAAGCCGGACTGAAACATATCAAATGAGTTGTTAATTATAAGAAATCTAGTAAGCTGTAGGTAGACAACTTTCTCAAGGACTTTCCCCATAAATGGCAGATTTGAGATGGGACGATAGTTGTTAAGTACCGTAGCATCCAGGCTGCTCTTTTTTAGCAGGGGCCTGATGACTGCAGTTTTCAGGGTCTTTGGGAATATTCCAGAATGAAGGGACATGTTTACTATCTGTGTGAGTGAAGGTAACAGACTGCTCAGAACAGACTTTAGAAATCTAGTGGGTAGTACATCCAAGCTGCATGTGGAGGAGCTCAAACTGGAGATTATTTCTTGGACATTTTTATCATTTACAGGAGCAAAGTGAGTTAGCTCAGAGAGCCTTTCTGGCTGTTGGATGGTTATCTGTGGATTGGAGACAATGGCGTTTTTGATGCCTTGAACCTTGTCATTGAAAAAGTGTGCAAACTCATTACATTTACGTTTGGAAGTTAGCTCTAATGGCATCTGAACAGGGGGGTTTGTTAATCTATTAACTGTTGAAAACAGAACACGCAGATTGTTGCTGCAGCCTTCAATCATTTCAGAAAAATACCTTTCTCTCGTACTACGTAGCACCTGGTTAAACTCGCACAACTTATCTTTGAAGATCTTGTAATCAACCTGGAGGTTGGACTTGCGCCACTTCCGCTCGGCCCTCCGGCACTTTCTCTTTTGTGCCCTGACCGAGTCTGCTTTAGCCCACGGCGCCTTCTGCTTATTTTTCACTATTTTAACCTTCACAGGGGCAACGGTATCCAGAACATTCAAAACACTAGAGGTGACAGAGTTAAACAGTTCATCTACAGTAGAATACGATGCATTTTCAAAGTTTATCATTCCCATAAATAGTTCACTCGTATTTTCATTTATGTGTCTTCTTCGAACAGTTGCAGAGTCCACTGGTGGTTTGTTAGTGAAACACATGTCAAAAAATACACAGAAATGATCCGAAAGAGCAACATCGACCACGCTTATATTTGAAATATTCACCCCCTTTGTAACTAACAGGTCTAGAGTGTGCCCTCTGCTGTGGGTGGGGCCACTCACATGCTGAGTGAGACCAAAGGTATCAAGTAAAGAACTCAGCTCTTTTGCATTTCTGTCATCAACATTATCCACATGAATATTAAAATCACCTGTAATAACTAAACTATCAAAATCTGTGCATACAACTGAAAGCAACTCGGTAAAATTATCAATAAAACTGTGACATGACTGCGGTGGCTTGTATAGGACAACGAAAAGTATTGGAGGAGATTGTTTTTGTTGTATTTTAAAAGACACATATTCAAAAGACGGAAACTTCCCAAGAGACATTCTATGGGAGACAAAGTGGTCTCTAAAAATGGCAGCTAAGCCTCCTCCTTTTTTGTTTTCCCGTATTTCAGATTCAAATTTGAAATTTGGTGGTGATGCTTCTATTAAAACTGCATTTTCTGTATTTTGGTCAAGCCATGTTTCAGCCATGAACATAAGATCAAGATTATAAGAACAAATAAAATTATTGATTAAAAAAGACTTGTTAGAAAGAGATCTGACATTTAGCATAGCAAGTTTCAAAGTTTCAGTATCAGCGGTTGTGGTCGGCTGATTCTTACACGGAACAAGAATTAGATTTTCCAGATTAGACTGATTAACTCCAGATGTCTTTCTGTAATGTATTCTTTGTGTTATCACTAAGGGAATGGCACAGGTGGCTTCATGACAGGGCCCCAGCCGGGTCTCTCCTCTAACTAGACTGCCAGTGGCTGCGAAGCAGAGACCCTGTGCATCCTAGGGAGAGGAGGGAGGAGGATGGAGAGGTGGGTGGTTCTTGGGTGTTGGACGAGGGGGGGTTGGAGGTGGATGGGTGTTAGGGGAGGGGCAGGAGTTGGGAGATAGACGAGGGGGGAGTGGAGGTGGAGGGGTTCTTGGTGATGGGAAACGAGGGGGGGGGGGGGTGGGGCTGGAATGGTTTTGGGGTTAGGGGAGGGACCTGTGGATTTTGCGGGTGAATTCGAGTTAGAATTTGAGGGACGGGTGGATTTTGTGGGAGAATTTGAGTTGGACGCCCTAGGTGGCTTTGGAGGTACGTATGGGGAGAAGTTATGAATGTTAGATAGGACCCTTGATCTGGCTACAGTGGGTGTGAGAGGAATATTCTTCATCGCCGATCTTATCATGCCTGCAGAGTGTTCCGGTAAATCCAATAGTGATGGAAAACACAGGGAAAGGTCGTCCTCATGTTCCTTAGATGGAGTGGATGTAGCGGGGGGGACCCAAACCGGGTCCATGGAAGGTGATGAGGGAGTCTTTGGTGGACGACGTGGTTGAGAGGCCCCCAGTGCAGGCCTGACTGTAGCCTGTAGCAATGGGGGGGGCTTCACGGGAGCTGTAGGTGGGGAAGGTGCTGCTGAAGATGATGCAGCAGCCACAGCTGGTGCTGGTGGTGCTGATGCTGAAGGCGCTGATGACGCTGTGGCAGCCACTGCTGCTGCTGGTGCTGGATCCTTTGCTGATGATGATGCTGGTGGACGTGTTGAGTTCTTTTGAGGCGGTGGAGGTGCCGAGACCTCTGGGTTCCGTGAGGGTCTCGCCCTTTGTATCCTCCTCTCTTTCAACGGCTGAACGCGCTGCGCAGGCTGAGGTCTTAAGGCAGATGCAAAGTTATCCATCAACACTTTTACTCCGTATTTGTTCAGATGTGGGCCTTTCCCTTCAAAGAGCTCGAGCCTATTCCAGAACAGATTGAAGTTTTCAATGAATCCAAGACCTCTGCGTGAACACTCATTGTGTAGAAATGAATTTAACTGGTACAGACGGCTAAACTTCTCGATTTTTCCATCTGCATTTGGAATGGGGCCACTGATTAACACGTTTAACTCAATTTTTTTAAGGTCATCCAGCAGCAGAGAAAAATCTCTTCTCAACTTCTCGGTGGATTTCTCATAAATGTCTACTGCCCCTGTGTGTATCAACAATGTACTTACATCCTTGGTTTGAGATAAAACTTTTGGCACCAAAGCTCTTATCTCAGACACTCTGGCCGAGTGCAAAGAATGAGTCTGTACAAAGTTCAAAGATACATTCCGAATGGCAGAATCTCCAAGCAGCAAACACCGTGGCCTTGACGGAGGGGGAGAAACAGACTGTGGCTTTGCTTCTTCAAACAGAGCAGCATAACGATTTGAAGTTTTGCAAACATTTCGTGGCAGAATTCCACTCCCATTGTCATTCTTAGCTTTGTCAACTTTGGGTTTAGCGCCGCATTTATTCCAATAGTTCTCTTTGTTGATTTTGGGAAAAGTAATTACGTCATCATAACTTACATTTCCAGTCTGTCCATTCATTCCATTTTCACACATTGGAAGAGTCGGGTTAAGTCCCATTTCTGTTTCCAAAATATCCATCCGTTTTTGAAGAAATTTGAGCTCATTTTCCAGAGAGCAGCAGCCATCGCAGATTTGTCTTCGTTTCTTCCGTCCGGACATGATTAATGTTGACAAATTTCACAAAGCTGAAGTCTGCAGAAGGAGTAATCCGTGTTTTGTAGAATAAAAATGTAAATAAAGCGATTAAAAGAGATTACAAAGCGAAGCAAGCAGCGGAGCACCAAGGAACACGTCTACACACTTCCACTGCGGAAGTAGTGGAAGTGGAAGTGTAGACCCAGGACTGAGGCTGTAGACCCAGGACTGAGGCTGTAGATCCAGGACTGAGGCTGTAGATCCAGGACTGAGGCTGTAGATCCAGGACTGAGGCTGTAGATCCAGGACTGAGGCTGTAGATCCAGGACTGAGGCTGTAGACCCAGGACTGAGTCTGTAGACCCAGGACTGAGGCTGTAGATCCAGGACTGAGGCTGTAGACCCAGGACTGAGGCTGTAGACCCAGGACTGAGGCTGTAGACCCAGGACTGAGGCTGTTTGAACTATTCATTATAATTCCTCTTTGTATCACAGACCTCTGCTCTCTCTGTGCACTGCTACATTTTGGGGATAATGGAGCCTCTCAGTCCTGGTGCAGATCTCGGCCCTGATCTGAACTCTCTGTGTCGCTCTGAGGAAGAATCTGAAAGGTTTGAAACTTTAATAATGTGTTCACTTTGTCTTTTATGTGCATCTTTACTTTTGTATTTGCTCGTCATTCTCCTTCAGTTTTCACAGATACATTTCTTTTCTTCAGGAAGACGATGAACAAACCTGGATCTAAAACCAAAACAAAATCTAGACCGGCTTCTATTCCCAGCTGTGAGTCTCTGAAGAGCAACGAGCCCAAAGAGGCGATAATCGACTCTAAAAGGTTTGTTTCTTCCTGAGTGTGTGCTCCGCTGAAACACGCTCTGAACATATTCTGTTTGACTGTTGGGACTCGGACATCATCCTGGATTTCAAAGGTTGTAGATGTAACAAATGTGAGATGGGCCTCTGTCCTGCTCCAATCAGGGCAGTTTTAGTCCCAAAAGTCTCGTCTGTGTGTTCTCGCTTCTGTCTCCTGTCTGCTCTGGGTCGAGGGGCCCCAGCCCTGGCTCAGGGTTCCCTCACGTTGTGTCTTCATCTCTGTCCAGCCCATGGATCTATAATCATATCTGGATAGAGTATTATTAGCTTATAGCTGTCCCACCAATGGACACAGGGGGCGCTGTGGTACTGCAGACACGTGGGCTACTCAGAAAAATGTCCCATAGAACTCAATGTAAACTAAAACAGCAGGACCTCAGCTGACAGAGAACCTGACAGAGAACCTGACAGAGAACCTGACAGAGAACCTGACAGAGAACCTACAGCTTTCATAAAGGTCGGATTTTTGTGTCGTTGTCGTCCTGAACTTTTTTTTTCTTGGTAAATCCTTCAGTTTTCTATAAATCCACATATTAAGGCAACAAACTGCTTGTTTTCTTCCCGCTCTGGCTCGGCTCTGATTGGTCAAAGCGCGGTAGAACCCCTCTGTGCACGTGCATGAGAGCCACACACGTATTTGGTGCAATGCACCATGGGAGCTCGTCCACTGCGCTGAACCGGGAGGACCAGACGATGCCCAAATATGGTCGAGTTCCTCTGATCTTTCAGTCCTGTGTATGTCCCATGTGCTGCTGAGCACAAGCCATTGATTTGAACAGGACGCCATCTTGGATCGCCGGGCCTTGGTCCAGCCTCAGTGATGCTCTCCTCGTGCACAGTTTAGTGCATGTGTGTCTCCCATGAGAGATAAGAGCAGACGGCCTTGAGTTGAGAATTCTCTTCCACAACAGCTGCAGAGACTTGTTCTTTCTCCTAAACTTGAACTCACTGTTTTGAGAAGACTGAGCCAGAGACCAGCAGCTTGTGCTTTCCTCTTTCTTCACCTTTCACTCTTTCACACAATTGGATTTAATCAGTTAAGTATAAAAACATTTTAACACATTATAATGATTTAGTTTAAAATGTAGACAGATCCATATGAAGAGAAAATATAGTTTTAGGATTGATGTTTGTCTGAGTCTGAATCTCTCCTGGAATCACAGAGAACCAGCCGCTCTGCATTCGGGCCTCCTGAGCTGGAGTCTGCTCGAAAAGGACTTGAAACTCAATTCTATTTATTTATCTAAATCACAACAGCAGTCGTCTCCAGGACTTTACAAAGTTGTCGATTCCTAAACAACAAATCAGAGAATCAAACAGTTTGAACACAGGAAATGCAGTAATAACAAATGTCCATAAATGTCCTTACATGTAACTTATGCTCATTTATCTCCTGATTGAATATTCATATTTACAGTATATTTTACCGCAGGCTAAATTAGGCCCGAGCCCCAACTGGGGTTAGGGCCTATTGCTTTCCCAACAAGTTTGGACTTTCCTTTCTATATGTGTAATCTCACTTTTAGTGAATAATTGTTATTAAGAACAAGCATAATGTGTGTGTGAACATTTGGATGGATGTGTTTTATATTTCAACATTGTTCTTACAGAAAGTAAAATAAATATTAACTGTTTAAAATCATCTTCAGGAAACTGGACAAATCTGGATCTCAAACCAGACCTGGTCCCAGCTGCGAGTCTCTGAAGAGCGACAGGTCCAAACATCCAATACTCAACTTTAAAAGGTTTGTTTGAATGTATTTATTTGATCTGGGACAAAGCACAAAAACAAACGTCTCATAAAAAGAAACGATGTCCTGTGCCAGGTTTTAGTAAATCTGCTCGTTTCCAGCCGTAGTCCTGGACAGGATGGAGATGATTACAGTAAGACTGATGGACAGTCTTTTTCATCCATCCATCCATCCATTTTCTTCCGCTTCATCCGTTGCCGGGTCGCGGGGGCAGCAGTCTAAGCAGAGACGCCCAGACTTCCCTATCCACACACACCTCCTCCAGCTCGTCCGGGGGGACTCCAAGGCGTTCCCAGGCCAGCTGAGAGACATAGTCCCTCCAGCGTGTCCTGGGTCTTCCCCGGGGCCTCCTCCCGGTGGGACATGCCCGGAACACCTCCCCAGGGAGGCGTCCAGGAGGCATCCGGAACAGATGCCCGAGCCACCTCAACTGGTTCCTCTCGACGTGGAGTAGCAGCGGTTCTACTCCGAGCTCCTCCCGTGTGACTGAGCTCCTCACCCTATCTCTAAGGGAGTGCCCAGCCACTCTGCGGAGGAAGCTCATTTCGACCGCTTGTATCCGCGATCTTGTTCTTTCGGTCATTACCCAAAGCTCATGACCATAGGTGAGGGAGGGGACGAAGATTGACCGGTAAATCGAGAGCTTTGCCTTTCGGCTCAGCTCCCTCTTTACCACAACGGTCCGATACAGCGACCACATCACTGCGCACGCTGCACCGATCCGCCTGTCAATCTCACGCTCCATCCTTCCCTCACTCGTGAACAAGACCCCGAGATACTTGAACTCCTCCACTTGAGGAAGGGCCTCTCCACCCACCCGGAGAGGGCAAGGCACCTTTTTCCGGTCGAGCACCATGGCCTCAGATTTGGAGGTGCTGATTCTCATCCCAGCCGCTTCACACTCGGCTGCAAACCGTCCCAGTGCATGCTGCAGGTCCTGGTTCTTTGGAGCCAACAGGACAACATCGTCCGCAAACAGCAGAGATGAAATCCTGTGGTCCCCGAACCGGACCCCCTCCGACCCTTGGCTGCGCCTAGAAATTCTGTCCATGAATACAGTGAACAGAACCGGTGACAAAGGGCAGCCCTGGCGGAGGCCAACATGCACCGGGAACAGGTCTGACTTACTGCCGGCAATGCGCACGCAGCTCTGGCTCCGGTCATACAGGGACCGGACAGCCCTCAGCAGAGGACCCCGGACCCCGTACTCACGGAGGACCCCCCAAAGGACACCCCGGGGAACACGGTCGAACGCCTTCTCCAAATCCACAAAGCACATGTGGACAGGTTGGGCGAACTCCCATGAACCCTCGAGTATCCGATGGAGAGTATAGAGCTGGTCCAGTGTTCCGCGACCGGGGCGAAAACCACACTGCTCCTCCTGAATCCGAGATTCGACCATCGGCCGTAACCTCCTCTCCAGTACCTTGGAGTAAACCTTACCAGGGAGGCTGAGGAGTGTGATCCCACGATAATTGGAACACACCCTCCGGTCCCCCTTCTTGTAGAGAGGGACCACCACCCCGGTCTGCCACTCCATTGGCACCGCCCCCGATTGCCACGCGATGTTGCAGAGACGTGTCAGCCAAGACAGTCCTACAACATCCAGAGACTTTAGATAGTCAGGACGGATCTCATCCACTCCCGGCGCCTTGCCACCAAGGAGGCTGCCAACCACCTTGGTGACCTCTGCCAGGGTGACAGAAGTATCCGCCCCAACATCCTCAGCCTCTGCCTCCGGAGCGGAGGACGTGACGGGGGGATTGAGGAGAACCTCAAAGTATTCCTTCCACCGTCCGACAATATCCCCGGTCGAGGTCAGCAGCTCACCCCCCGCACCGTACACGGTGTTGGCAAAGAACTGCTTCCCCCTCCTGAGGCGCCGGACAGTTTGCCAGAATCTCTTCGAGGCCGACCGATAGTCATGCTCCATGGACTCTCCGAATTCCTCCCAGTCCCGGGTTTTTGCCTCTGCAACAGCCCGGGCCGCGGCACGCTTGGCCTGCCGGTACTGGACAGCTGCCTCAGGAGTCCCCCGAACCATCATGGCTCGATGGGACTCCTTCTTCAGCCTGACGGCATCCCTTACTGCCGGTGTCCACCACCGGGTTCGGGGGTTGCCGCCGGGACCAGCACCAGAGACCTTGCGACCACAGCTACGAGCCGCCGCATCGGCGATAGAGGAAGAGAACATGGTCCACTCAGACTCAATATCCCCCTCCTCCGCCGGGACCTGGGAGAAGCTCTCCCGGAGGTGTGAGTTGAAAGTCCGTCTGACAGGGGTCTCAGCGAGACGTTCCCAGCAGACCCTCACTACACGCTTGGGTCTGCCAGGTCTGACCGGCTTCTTCCCCTGCCAGCGGATCCAACTCACGACCAGGTGGTGATCGGTTGACAGCTCCGCCACTCTCTTTATCCGAGTGTCCGAAACACGCGGCCGAAGGTCAGATGATACAACAACAAAGTCGATCATCGACCTCCGGCCTAGGGTGTCCTGGTGCCACGTGCACTGGTGGACACCCTTGTGCTCAAACATGGTGTTCGTGATGGACAAACCGTGACTAGCACAGAAGTCCAACAACTGAACACCACTCGGGTTCAGATCAGGGGGGCCATTCTTCCCGATCACCCCTCTCCAAGTGTCACTGGCGCTTCCCACATGGGCGTTAAAGTCCCCCAGGAGAATGACGGAGTCCCCGGGCGGTGCACCGTCCAGTACCCCTCCCAAGGACTCCAAGAAGGCCGAGTACTCTGCACTGCTGTTAGGCCCGTAGGCCGTCACAACAATGAGAGACTTGTCCCCCACCCGAAGGCGGAGGGACGCGACCCTCTCATTCACCGGGGAGAACTCCAACACGTGGCGGCTGAGATGGGGGGCAATGAGAATGGCCACCCCAGCTCGCCGCCTCTCCCCGCGCGAAACACCAGAAAAGTGGAGCGTCCAACCCCTCTCAAGGAGTTGGGTTCCAGAGCCCAAGCTGTGTGTGGAGGTGAGGCCGACTATCTCTAGTCGGTACCTCTCGACCTCCCCCACAAGCTCGGGCTCCTTCCCCCCCAGTGAGGTGACGTTCCACGTCCCAAGAGCCAGATGTTGGGTGTGCGGACTGGGTCGCCGAGGTCTCCGCCTTCGACTGCTGCCCAGTCCTCTCTGCACCGAGCCGCCACGGACCCCTCTGCGGGTGGTGGGCCCACAGGAGGGACTGCCCACGTCGTCCTTTCGGGCTGAGCCCGGCCGGGCCCCGTGGGCTAAGGCCCGGCCACCAGGCGCTCGCATTCGAGCCCCGACCCCAGGCCTGGCTCCAGGGTGGGGCCCCGGCTGCGCCATGCCGGGCGACGTCACGGTTCTTCTTTTTGTGCTGTCCATGTTGGCTTCTGACTGCTCTTCGTCTGACTCGTCACCTGAGACCTGTCTGCCATGGGAGACCCTACCAGGGGCATGAAGCCCCAGACAGCATAGCTCCCAGCTTCACTCAATATAAAATACAGTCCAAACATTACTATCACACACACACTCTCATATTCATACACTTTATTATGTTCTCTCTGTGTCTGCGCAAGTTTCCTCCAGGTGCTCCGGTTTCATCTTCCCCTAAAAACATGTACAATAGTTACAATCCTCCTCAAATGTATTTTAAAAATCACAATTTAAAATGAAATGGTCGACTAATAGAATGAAGAGATCCTTTGTTAGTCTCACAGTGGGGAAATGTCAGTGTTGCATCAGCAGTTACAGAACAGTAGGAATGAGGAGCACACGGCACAAGATCAATGAACAATAACTCTATACTCAATAAAATAAAATAAAAATCTCTAACTCTGTTATGAAGAAGAAACAAGTATAAAATCTCTATCCCTGGCATAATGAGAACAAACAACTCTGACTTTAGCAAAATAAAGGAGTAGAACATCTACCTTCCTTATTGGGCTCATCATTCTCCAGTTTTCATGGATCCATTTACTTTTCTTCAGGAGGACAATGGTCAAACCTGGATCTGAAACCAAAAGAAAGTCCAGTTCTGGACCTGATCCTGGTCCCAGCTGTGAGTCTCTGAAGAGCGACTGGTCCAAAGTGTTGCCAATCGACTTTAAAAGGTGAGTTTGTTCCTGAGTGTGTGCTCCACTGTAACATGCTCTGAACAGACTCTTTGACTGTAGGGACTCGAACCCTCACCCTGCTCTGAGCTGTGGCTCCAGCCTCAGTGACAGCTCTAAAGACTGGCTCGTAGAGTTTAAGAACAGTCCACCTGAGAACATGGGGTAAGTGGCAGCACGGTTAAACCAGATCAGAAACACTCTCCACCAGTGACACAGAGAACAACAGAGTGTATAGAAGTATTGCCTCAAAATGTCCGCTCTGACTTTACTGATCCACACCATCATTTAGTGCACTTCAACTTCATCTGCACTTGTTTGGATGGTCGTAGTCTCTGGACTGATGCACATCATGTCTCCACTGGAAGTGCTCAGTCTCTGCTTCAGAAGTGACTTTTTGAGTTTGGATCAGAAAAGGACAGGAGTAAGTGGACTAACATCAACTTATAGATCCATTAAAGTAGTAGATTATTCTAACTGGATTTAAATCAGACTTAAACCAACTCAGGTCTGAAGCGTTGGAGCTGAACTTCCCTCTCTCCAGTGGATCATTATGGATTATGTGGCCATACCTTCATGTGAAAGCCAGATCCTGCAGACCTCTGAAGCTGTGCAGGGCAGGGCCTGGTTAGTACTGTGATGGGAGACCTGTGGGAACAGGTGCCACAGTGGGGCAGCTGCAGCTGTAAAGTGACAAACTGTTGTTGTGTCCTTTGGCAAGACACTTCACCCACATTGCCTAGGATAAGTCTGGTGTGTTGGTGGTGGTTGGAGGGGCTGATGGCACAGACTGGTTCAAATCAATCAATCAAAGTTTATTTATAAAGCGCTTTTCATACAACAAATGCAACACAAAGTGCTTTACAGTTTGGCTAAAAAACAATCCTGCCCATGCCCTCCCCCCGACCGCCCAACAGACCCTCCCCAGACCACAAGCAAACACCACCCCACAACCCCATCATCAGAGACATGGAGATGTACAGCTGAGTATCATCTGCATAACTGTGGAAGTTAATTCCATGTCTCCTGATGACACCGCCAAGAGGGAGCATGTACACGTTAAAAAGGACTGGACCTAAAATGGAACCCTGGGGCACACCACATGTGATTTTATGGACCTGAGAGGAGCAGGTATCCAAACTTACCATGAAGGATCTGTCTGTTAAATAAGAAGTGAACCATTTGTGGACAGCACCAGAGAGGCCAAGGTGGTTCAGGCGTGATAAAAGAATGGTGTGGTCTACTGTGTCGAAGGCAGCGCTAAGATCCAGTAGAACCAACACAGTCACCTTTTTAGAATCATAATTTAATCTAAAATCATTTAAAATCTTTAAAAGAGCAGTCTCTGTGCTGTGGTTCACCCTAAAACCTGATTGAAATGTCTCTAAAATTTGCTGTTGATCTAAAAAGGCATTGAGCTGGGTAAAAACAAGTTTTTCTAAAATTTTGCTTAAAAATGGTAAGTTGGACACCGGCCTGTAGTTGTTAAGATCATTAAAATCTAAATTGCTCTTCTTCAGAAGGGGTCTCACCACAGCCGCTTTGAAGGCTGCAGGAAAGACCCCAGTCTGAAGAGAGCAATTCATCAGGTTGCCTTGCTTCTGTCAGTGTGCCCCAGGGCAGCTGTGGCTACAATAGTTTCATATGACCACTGTGTATGGAGTGAAAGAAATATGACTCGTGAAGTGTCTTTGAGTTTCCAGAAAAGTGCTGTATAAAACTGATGCATTGTGATTATTATTATTATTATTATTATTATCTACTAGAGGCCTCCAGCGTGTACTGGCGTTACTGAGGTCGTTCTCTGCTTTCATTGGTGAAAGGCAAAGTTTACTTTGTTCCACAAGAAACTTTAGTGATGAAATGACTCATTAGTGAGGATGTAATAACGGGATTAAAAGCAGAGAAACACAGGATATAGGACTCTTCCTGAGTGTGTTATGCACTTGTATGAACTGTGCTATACAAATAAACTTGCCTTTTCCTTTGATTGAAAACTGTCAGAAAGTCTTAGTGGCTGCTGTGTTGTGGCATCAATAAACATGTGCCTGATTCTAACAAACTTGTTTTAACTTTTCTTTTTGCTGCAACAACAACATTAAATGAAAGTAATGAGTCATAGTTTGTTTCTTTGGTGTTTTCTATATTTTGACTGTGTCCCCAGAGCGGAGAGCAGCACGGATCAACTCGGTATAGACCCGCTGCTCCCAGTCTTCACGGTCAGTACACAAACAGTGTCTGTGAGGTTATGTTCTGACTGAGTTTGTGTGTTTGCAGCGGCTGCAGGAGAAGGTCCTGGGCTTTGCCAAAGAGCAGGTGCAGAGCTTCCACCGGGCCCTGAACTCAGATTACCCAGAATGCTCAGAGAGAGTGGTGGAGGAGCAGCTCATCAGAGAGGCCCTCCTGACCATCGCACTGCACTTCCTGGAGAGGATGGGGGAGGGGCGAGTGGCCGAGCGTCTGTTCAGCCGTAAGAACAAAGAAAACACACTTCACATATTTAAATATAAAAGATCTGAGAAAAAGAAGTCGTCTAAAAGTCAAATCTAGAGCAGAATAAGTATTTAAAATACAAATACAAATGATTGGGTAGAATATTGACATGTTGTAAAACTAGACATCAGACCCAGTGTCCTGCCTGTAGAGCACACACCTGCTGTTGCAGCAGTGATTACTGATGTTCAGTGACCAAACACTGGATTTCACCAAAGAAACTGGCAACATCAATGAGAAGCTCTTTCTGATTGGATCATCTGTTTAACAATAAATATGGTCTGTTTTTAAAAGGTAGAATATTCACATTTTGATCAGAAAAGGCCAAACATGATTTAAATCTGTCGATAGATAAAAGATTTAAAATAAACACATCTTACGTACTGTCCCTTTAAAATAGAAGAAAGCTGATGTGGTACAGTGTCTCCTGATGCTCGGAGTGAGACCTGATGCTGAAGGTGTGATTGTTGAAAGACAGTCACTTAAAGGGGACGTGCATTGTATTTTGTGTTGAACATTAAAGGTCCCATGTGTCAGTTCTGATGTGTGTCTGTAGCACCATGAGGTGTGACCAGTGTTTGGCTGTAAACCTGGACTCACACATGTTCCTCCTGTTCTTCACAGAGAGTGCGGCTGGAGTTTGCAGAGATCAACTGCAGCAGCGTCTGCAGCACAAGCTCAGCCTTGTGTCTGAGGGCGTGGCTAAAGCCGGAAGCCTCGCCCCTCTGAAGCAGGTCTACACTGAGCTGTACATCACAGAGGGAGGGGCCGCGGGGGTCAACCAGGAGCATGAAGTCAGACTCATCGAGAGCAGATCCAGGAGAGCAGCCGCCCCAGAGCGCCCCATCACATGTGAGGACATGTTTAAAGGGCCCGCACTCAAAGGAAGACCAGTGAGAGCAGAGCAAAGAGAGAGACGGGAACCAATCAGACTGGTGCTGACGAAGGGCGTGGCTGGTGTGGGGAAAACAGTGCTGACTCAGAAGGTGAGTCTGGACTGGGCTGAGGGCAGGGCTCTCCAGGACGTCCAGCTGCTGCTGCCGTTCACATTCAGAGAGCTCAATGTTCTCAGAGACACAGCCTTCAGCCTCCGTGGACTCACACAGCACTTCTACAGCGAAGCCAAACGTCTGCGCAGCCTCGAGCAGCTGCAGGTGCTCTTCATCTTGGACGGTCTGGACGAGTGCAGACTTCCTCTGGACTTCGCTGGGACTCGAGTCCTGACAGACGACACAGAGAGCGTCTCGCTGGACGTGCTGCTGGTGAACCTCATCAGAGGAAACCTGCTTCCCTCTGCTCGCCTCTGGATAACCACACGCCCTGCGGCGGCCAATCAGATCCCTGCTGAGTGTGTCTCCATGGTAACAGAGGTGCGAGGGTTCACTGACCCGCAGAAGGACGAGTACTTCATGAAGAGGTTCAGAGACCAACAGCGGGCCGCAGACATGATCTCCCACATCAAAAGCTCACGCAGTCTGTACATCATGTGCCACCTGCCGGTCTTCTGCTGGATGATGTCCACAGTCCTGGACCATGTGATGGAGACAGGGCTCAAAGAGCAGCTGCCTCAGACTCTCACCCAGATGTACATCCACTTCCTGGTGGTCCAGGCCAAAGTCAAAAGCCTCAAGTACGATGGCTGCTCTGAGAGCGAGCCTCACTGGAGCCCTGACACCAGGGAGATGGTGCAGTCTCTGGGAAAACTGGCCTTTGAGCAGCTGCAGAGGGGAAACCTGATCTTCTATGATTCAGACCTGGAGGAGTGTGGGCTGGACGCTGCAGGGGCCTCTCTTTACTCCGGAGTCTTCACACAGGTGTTTAGAGAAGAGCCGGGGCTGTACCAGACCAAGGTCTACTGCTTCATCCATCTGAGCGTGCAGGAGTTTCTGGCTGCGCTTCACGTCCACCTCACCTTCTACAGCTCTGGGGTCAACCTGCTGTCCCCAAAACAAACCACAGAGAGGCCCACGTCTGACGCAGAGAGCTCCACGTCTGACTTTTACCGTTCTGCTGTGAAAAAGGCTGTAGAGAGTCCCAACGGTCACCTGGACCTCTTTCTACGCTTCCTGTTGGGTCTGTCTCTTCCGACCAATCACAGCCTGTTATTAGGTCTGCAGCAGAAGACTGGAAGAACCTCAGACACCAATGAAGACACAATAAAGTGCATCACAGATATGTTGAATAAGGGCAATATTCCATCAGAGAGTCGTATGAACCTGCTCCACTGTCTGCATGAGCTGAACGACCACAGTCTGCTGCAGCAGGTGCAGCGCTACATGAGAGAAGGACATTTCTCTGATAAACACATGTCTGTGAGTGAGTGGACAGCGGTGTCTCTCCTCTTACTGTCTTCAGACTCTGAGCTCCAGGACTTTGACATCAGAGAATACTCTTATTCTCCAAATGCTTTTGAGGGTCTGCTGCCTGTAATGAAAGCCTCCAGAAAAGTCACGTGAGTCGAGATTTTATTAAAACACAAACTCATGATTGGAGCCTGTTATCTTCCTCTCTGTCCTCAGTCTGTCCAGCCGTGACCTGAGAGTCTCTGATCTGACCTCAGTCGTCAGCTCCTCTGCTCTGAAACATCTGGACCTCAGTCACTGCTGGCTCACAGACTCTAATGTGGAGCAGCTGTGTTCTGGACTGAAGAGCGCCACCTGCAGACTGGAGGTCCTCAGGTGAGACCCAGAACAGCCCCATATCAGACCTTAAAGAGCAGCAGAACATTTGCATTATTGTGTTTTAATATAAAAGTCTGAAGAACAAAAACCACTGCATTCAAACTAATACAGTTTCCATTTTGTCCAAGTTCTCATCCAGCTCCAGTTTGGTTTCTTTGTGGTGAAATAAATAATGAATGATTAGTTGTAGTTAGTAAGAAACACCAGCTCTAGATAAAGTGAACGACAATGAAATGTTGAAAAGTGTAATCAGTAATTTACATTTTCCTCCTGTTGAAATATGAACAAAAGTGGAACAGAATAATCTCTAATGATGGATTTTTGGATTGATTCAGTTTATTTGTCTTGTGTCTCATTAAATGTTATTTAATCATTAGAATATAAAACAAATACATTCAAACAGTTCCAACTATTGATTAATCATTGTGTTTGAAATGATCTGTATATTGATTATGGTTAGATTAGTTATATATGTTATTTAGCTTCAGTCATAAAAAGAATGACATAAACTGGACACTTGACATTTTTCAACTCATTTTAAACAATTTCAGAAGAACTTGTATAAAACCTTATGGCTCTATGAAGATCATTATTATTTTGAGTTAAAAATGTCAGTTTATTGTCCAAAAAGAGCATTTATAAATAATGTGGTTTTTCAAATGAGTTTGACGTATTTTGTCTCGTATCAAAATTGAGTTATAAATTCAGTATCGTGACAAGACTAAGATGAACCCGAGCTAAAGCGGGCCACACCAGGACATTTGAGGAATGATCCTTTCACCTTAATATTGTGTAAAGAAACTAAACACAAAGGATGAGGACAGTGGGTCTGTGTTTTATATTATTGTGTTTATTTAATAACAGTGGATCCTGTTCTCTCCTCAGTCTGTCCTTCTGTCGTTGGTCTCATCTCTGCTGTGAGTCTCTGGCCTCGGTCCTCGGCTCCTCTGCTCTGAAACACCTGGACCTCAGTAACAATGACCTCACAGACTCAGGAGTGGAGCAGCTGTGTTCTGGACTGAAGAGCGCCACCTGCAGACTGGAGGTCCTCAGGTGAGTCCTGCTCCATGTTTCACACAGTTTAAGAAGACATAATAATAACATAAAAAGATGGATAACTTTTCAAAACAGTGAGGATCTAATTAGGACCTTTCCCAAAGTCCTTTAACCTTTACCCAAATCTATAAACTGTAAACTTAATATAATGTACTGTAAACGTATATGATGTCATATTGTCAAACAGACTAGTGTTAAATAGTAAAAGCAGCCGTGCAAAGTGATAGAAGTGTGGCATAAGTGTGTAGGGAAGAAGACGGACTAGAGCAGCAGAGGAGGAAGCATGAGTGGATGAGTGGACATGAGACACACTCTGCTCGTCTCGCTGTTTCAGACCCATATCACTTTTACATGTTGTCTTTTCCTGAGGCCTTAAAGACACATGTGTCAGAACCACTTCATATTCATTCATGAACCATTAACACTTCTACAGACTTGGAAGCGTTGGTCTTTACTGCCTCTTTTATCTCGCTTGGAAGCGTGTGACGTTTCGCGAGGCCGAGGCCTGGTCTTCAGCTGAGGGCCGCCTCCCTGGGGCCTCTCTGCAGCTGAGGGGCCCGGAGGCCCTGGGGCCTCTCTGCAGCTGAGGGGCCCGGAGGCCCTGGGGCCTTCAGACACTCACAACTGTTGCTTCTACATCACCAGACTCCTGTTGAATGTGCACAGAGGAGTGAATGGAAAGTGTCCTTGTGTTTACAGACTCTCAGGATGTGTGGTCTCTGAGAGGGGCGGAGCTGCTCTGGCCTCTGCTCTAAGCTCCGCCCACTCTCATCTGACAGAGTTAGACCTGAGCTACAACCATCCAGGAGCCTCAGCAGAGGTCCTGACCGCTGTACGGGACCACCCCCACTACCCCCTGCACACACTCAGGTGAGCACACTGCCCAGACTCTCTCTGTTCAAGTATTCACTGTGTATTTCTTCAATCATTCATTCTGTCTTTCTTTTGAATAAGAACTAGTGCGTATCTCCACGGCAACAAGACAACAGTGTTTCAACTGAAACTATTTGAATTCAACACAATTCTGAGCAAAAACATCTATCGCTGAACTGAAATATAAACAATCTGTTTTTGACTTAATGATCCGTCACAAAGTATGTTTGTAGCCAACCTGCATGTGGAAGCCTGATCCTGTCAGAGCTCAGGAGCTAAGCAGGGCAGGGCCTGGATAGTATTGTGATGGGAGACCTCTGGTAAATGAATAATGTCTGTGAAGCAGTAAATAAGTTTGATGGATTATTATTATTGTTAATCACACATCAGTTCATAAATCACAGGAGAAAGATCACTATGATAAGAAGAAATGTTTTGGCCGACAGTAAGAGGTTAAACTGGAGACGTTCTTTTGTAGAAAACACTGAGGCTCAATAGAAAATGTTGATGATTGAATGATCACAGACATAATCTCTGTTTATTGAGTCTTTTTGAGGCTCCATCTCTGCAGTTCAATCACAAATCCTCCAAAAGCATTTGGTCCAGAGAATCCTGAAGGCCACACATCCTGTAGTTTTAGCACCTTCCTCTGGTCAGATTGAAGTCGACAGATAAACAACATTATTCCTCAGTTTTGTCACAGTCTGTGTTTGGATCTTATTGTGAGTCTTGTTCCATGTGTGAGTGACCTGTGTGTTACAGGCTGGACCCGGCTGGAGAGAGGTGGATGGTCACAGGTCCAAGGAAGTGTGAGTAAACAGGAAGTGATGTCATAAGTTAGAATGTTTAGTCCTCCTCCATCTGTGCCTTTTCTCTTCATTGACCTGTATGTTGGTGGTCTGTCCACAAGGACCATCCACATTCATTAGTGAAGGAACGGTTTAAAGTCTGAGATTGAGATGTTCCTCAGAGGGAGTGCTCCTATTGAGATGGAGCGACAGCTCCTTATGGTCCACCTCAAGAGCAGATCAATGATAAGGAGAAGAAAGGATCAGGAAGGACATGGAGGTGTTTAGTCAGAGACACATCTGGGTCTGATTTTGGGTAAATACTTTCTTGATCCCTGATGGAGAAATGCAGGTGTCCAGCAGCAGAAACACATCCATCCAAACAAACAAATAAATGCATCATTCTAAAAGTGACTACAATAGTAATAAAGTGCAGCAGCAGCAGAGGTGGAGGAGCTGCTGGTGATGAGCTGCTTCCTCTCCTCTGGGTGATGTCTGCAGAGTCTGCTTGGTTTGGACCATTTTCTCTGCTCTGAATGGATTTGGATCTGAGTGGATTTACTCTTGATCTGTTTGGTTCAGATCGTGCATTCTCTCTGCTCTGGGAGAAAAATAACAATTGTAAAACAACTGTTTCAGAGCTACTTAGGTCTCGCTGTCGTTTCCAGTGCATTCAAAAGTCATTAATGTGACGCATTTGAACAAAAAAGATAGTGATGTTTCAGAAACTATTGAAATAAATAAATATAGAGAATAAGAACCAATAAAACAACTATTTACAACGATCCATTTTCCTTAGTTTCCTGTGTCTGAACTGTTGCCAAATGTAAAATCTGTTGTATATTGTGTGTTTTGCTGCATGGTGTGTTAAAGTGACAGTGAGGTCACCAGTGTGTGTGTGTTCTCAGACTTCTGTGACGTCTCTCTGGATCCAAACACGGCCAATAACACTCTGCAGCTGAGTGAGGACAGAAGGACAGTGACCAGAGTGGAGGCGCTGCAGCTGTACCCCTCTCACCAGGACCGCTTCAGCTCCTGCCCACAGCTGCTGAGCTCCACCGCCCTCACAGGACGCTCTTACTTTGAGGTGGAGTGTAGCGGAGATGTAGCTATAGCACTGAGTCACAGAGGAATCGGACGCAGAGGAGACCTGGACCAGTGTCGCTTTGGGGACAATGATCAGTCCTGGAGTCTGAGGATGGAAGGAGACTGGAGCTATTTTTATCATTGTAAAAGGAAAACACAAGTGGACTACTACTACAAACAAAGAGTAGGTGTTTTCCTGGACTCTGAGGCTGGAGTTCTGTCTTTCTCTGATGTTTATGATGATGATAAATCCTGGTGCCCCCTCCACTCCGTCAGCGTCTCCGTCTCAGAGCCGCTGTTTGTTGGGTTCAGTCTGGAGCGTCCTGGTTCCTCTGTGTCTCTGATGAACTTTGACGATGAAGATGACTTTGACGATGACGATGAAGATGATTGAACTCTAATTTTAAAGATCTGATATTTTAAACACATCGCTCAGAGCTTTTCTACTGATAAACAGAAATCATGTTTTTGTAAAAGACGTTGATCATTTGTGTCATGAGTTTTACTGCAGTAAAATATAAATAATCTGTTAATTTCTTTAAATGTTTTATTAAATTGATTCACAGCAGTTTCTGTTTTACAGCTTATGTTCTTATTGAGAAACTGTTTTACAGAAATTACTTTGTTAAAATCAAAAAGCAGAAAAAAAAATACTGCTACTCCTGAATAAAACTAGTTGTAAGGAACGTTTGGTTTATTTTATTTCTTTATATAATACTTTATTGTGTCATCTTCATTAGTTCACTCTTTTTTCTTAATACATACATCTTAACAAGACACATTTTGATTTCTTTATTTTTCCTTTTTCCCTCCACTTTGCTCCCCTTGTGTCAAGAGAAGGGTAAAGCAAAACAAATACATAGATAAATAATAAATAAAATAAACAAACAATATGAAAGTAAATATATAGAATACTATAAACAATAGATGATTATTCCTATGGCTTTATGTTGAATAGTTTTGATATACTGACAAACAGACAGAATGTGATGTTGGTTTAGTCTGTCGTCCTCTACTGTGTCCAATGTCCGTATTTGTTGACTTCACATTATATATACATATACACACACAAATACCCATACACATGTACATACATATACATCCACATATACGCGCAGACATACATACACACATACACATACGTATGCACGCAGACATATAATCACACACACCTGTAGACACAACATATTGTTCTAATTGTTCTCTTTCCCCTTAAGAAGCTCCTCTCTATCTAGTTTTATAGTTATTGTTGATTAAAAATGCATTACTATTTTTATTCTAATTAGGTGGGCACTTTTAAGTAAACGTATCATCGATTGTGTGCCATTTTCTCCTGAATTCATCTTCCTCATTATTAATCTTGTGTGACAGTGTCTCCTTTAACTGAACCTCTTGAATTGCGTCCAGCCAGTTTTGGATTTTGGGGATGTTGGTTGTTCTCCAGTTTTTGGTAATTTGTTTGAGGGCGGTTATTCGTATTATCCAGAAAGGTATTCCTCTCTTCTCTTCATTCTCTGAGTTAATATTCCCAGTGATAATGTTTTGTCGTTGTGCAGGTTTATGTTTCTAAATACTTGCGTAATATTTGTTTTCACCTCAGTCCAATATCTTGGATTTTCGTACAAGTCATAAAAATATGTCTGTAGTCCACCTCTTTCTCCCCGCACTTCCTCCAACATTCTCCCAGCTTCTTGTTCTTTGTGTACTTTGAGATTGCTTTAGGTGTTTGGAAGAACCTCAAATGTAGTTTCCAAGCAAACTCTTGCCAATATGGCGTTCGTACGTGTGAGTAGTTTGCCTTCATGCTTTCGTACCACTTGTCATTATCAATCCTTTCCTCTGGTTCATTTTCCCACTTCACCTTGGTTGATTCACCATTTTGTTTCTGATGTCCTTGCATCATGGTATATATCTCTTTAATAACTTTATGCTTTTCTCCGTTGCTCTTTTGAATTAGGTAACGTATGAGAGCATGAAGTTCATCCAGTTTTTGTATTGTTTGTATTGTTTTTTAGGTAACTTCTCACATGTAGATAACTATAGAAACGTTTGGTTTATTTCCCGATTGTTCTTAATGTGACCATGGTGTGTGGACATACACGGTGATAATAAACTACTGTAGCCACAGCTGCCCTGGGGCACACTGACAGAAGCGAGGCAACCAGTCTGTGCCATTGGCCCATCCAACCACCAACAACACATCAGAATCATGCTTGGCAATGTGGGTGAAGGGTCTTGCCTCAGGACACAACAACAGTTTGACACTTTACAGCCGCAGCCGCCCCAGTGGCACCTGTTCCCAGAGGTCTCCCATCACAGTACTAACCAGTTCCTGCCCTGCACAGCTTCAGAGGTCTGCAGGGAACATGGATCTAGGATCTGACTTCCACCGCTAGTTCAGGGGTATGTTCAAGTGTCTACTGTGTTTTAGGGATCTTTTTGTATTAGGGACATGTCTGGAAAGTTTTTTTAAATTTAATTTCAAATTTAAAACAGGTCTAAAGACGCTCTCTACAGCATTCTGGTTTAATTATTCTATTCATGAAAATATAAAATAACAATTTATTTATTTATTCAATTATCAAACCCTGAATTATAATCTCAACAAATAAGTCTGACTTAAAATGACTTAAAACATGTAAAAGTGTAATTTACTGAACTAATTATCGTTATATCTCACACATAAACCATTAAAATGTACTTGTAATATGCTTTTAGGAATGTGACAAAAATAAAAACAGTCGATAGATGTTTTATACACATGACAGTCTCCCCCTGCTGGACAAGTGTGCTCTGGACAGCAGCTCGCAGCCTGCTGTGAGGAGAAGAGGTTTCAGATTGTACAACGAACACTGTTGCTCTGTCTATCATAAAACATATCTTGGGGCTGTCTAAGGACTGTCTGCACAACAGCCTCTGACAATTCAATCTGCTTTTGTTTTGCTCAATACATAAAATGTCACATCCATCACTAACTACATGTATAAGTGTGAAACTCCCTTCAGCAATTTAGGATCCTGCACTTATCTTGAAAATGTACTTGTTTTCCCGAAGTGTAATTATAGATTTATACTTTAGCTAACATTGTTCTTAAAGATTTTAGGTATTTTACAATAATTCCATTCTAGCATAAAGGAAATATCAAGATAAGTTCAGCATGTTGGCTCCAAAGAACCAGGACCTGCAGCATGCACTGGGACGGTTTGCAGCCGAGTGTGAAGCGGCTGGGATGAGAATCAGCACCTCCAAATCTGAGGCCATGGTGCTCGACCAGAAAAAGGTGCCTTGCCCTCTCCAGGTGGGTGGAGAGGTCCTTCCTCAAGTGGAGGAGTTCAAGTATCTCAAGGTCTTGTTCACGAGTGAGGGAAGGATGGAGCGTGAGATTGACAGGCGGATCGGTGCAGCGTGCGCAGTGATGTGGTCGCTGTATCGGACCGTTGTGGTGAAGAGGGAGCAGCGTCTGCAGTCAGAGCTGTATCGGACCGTTGTGGTAAAGAGGGAGCTGAGCCGAAAGGCAAAGCTCTCGATTTACCGGTCAATCTTCGTTCCCTCCCTCACCTATGGTCATGAGCTTTGGGTAATGACCGAAAGAACGAGATCGCGGATACAAGCGGTCCAAATGAGCTTCCTCCGCAGAGTGGCTGCTCCCTTAGAGATAGGGTGAGGAGCTCAGTCACACGGGAGGAGCTCGGAGTAGAGCCGCTGCTTCTCCACATCGACCCTCATCCCACCCTTGAGGAGGCCCCGGGGAAGACCCAGGACCTGCTGGAGGGACTATGTCTCTCAGCTGGGAACGCCCTGGGGTCCCCCCGGATGAGCTGGAGGAAGTGTGTGTGGATTGGGAAGTCAGGGTGTCTCTGCTTAGACTGCTGCCCCCGCGACCCGGCAACGGATGAAGCAGAAGAAAATGGATGGATGGTTGGTACAATGAGTATCAATTGTCCCAGCAGATGTTATAAACACAACAGATTGTTTCCTTGGGCTAATTTGCATTTATCGTCCTACAATCACACTCACTCAACATTCATCCTGAATTATTGTCCATGTTTTAGTGGTAGGGGAAACCGGAGCATCTGGAGGAAACCTAGAAGAACATGCAAACTCCACACAGAGAGGCCCTGTCTGGAGGTGGAATCGAACCCAGGAGCTTCTTGCTGTGAGGCCCAAGCACTAACTTCTATCCTCCAGTAACGTTCAAAGATCAAAAGAAAATCAGGCAAAGTGTGAAGCGTCACTTGTCGTTTCTCAAGAATAAATGAGCAACAGTTGTTTAAATATGGCAGTCTTTATTTCAACAAGACTAAGAAATGTTGTTTAATATACATTTTCTTTTACAATTTAACATCTATCTCTGTTTTTTCCATAACATTTAGGACAGTAAAAATGTGGTGAAGGTTACCGCCTCTTATAGAGACATCTAGAACGCCAGCACAGTATTTACACCTCTCTTCTTCTTTTTTCACTCAGTCCTCCAGAACAAGAGTCCGATCCGGTCCTGAGGGGGGCACAGGCTTTTTGTCCAACTTTAAAATCCCAGCACTCAAAAGTTGGACCAAATCTCCTGCATTTCTCAGCCGTGCCAACACCTGCTTTGACTATAGCAGGGCCCCGCGAGCTCAGGCACATCCCATCTTCACCCAGAACACAGGGTTTCAATCATGGCCGTCTGTCCGCTCACCGAAACACATGCACCAGCCCTTTTGAAATGTTATTGGCTCTCAGTCGTGACAGAATCATCGCCAAATCGCGCTGTTTTAAGGCACAGCTCGTTCCAAATTAAGGTTTCAGTATTTTTTCTTTTCATCAACAGTTTGCATAGATGTTTTGCACAATATTCTCGTTTCAATTCAGCACCTTCAGCAAAGAAAATCCCAGTATGAATCAACTTTTATGAACAAAGTCAAAATAATCCCATATTTCTTGCAGTGAAATTTCATCAGGGACAAATGACATGAATAATAAAAGGTATTTGAACGGTTCTGATTTGTGTTTGTAATTTAAAAACGTGGTAATTCATTTTATAAGCAACCTTTGTAGCATACATTTTAGATCAATAACAAAGAGGTTGCAGGACTGAGCCTAATATTACTGTACAGAGTGCGTGGTTTGACTGTATTGGCTCCAAAAAGGGCAATTCCGAGTTACTTTGAAAAGTGATCGAGTTACATGTGATTTGAAACCCCCCACACTAAAGGCAGCATTACAAATATAAAATCCAGAATTTTAAATAAAGATAAAATATTGTGTTGTGCTCTTCTGCTTCTAAACAATAAAACCACCAGGGCCTTTGTCGAGTAAACACTTCACTTATATCTTACACTCATTCATTTGAAAATTGTAGGTAAAAAAAAGAAGGAAAAACAGGCATTGCATTCGTCGGCTTGGTGATAAAAACAAACAACAGCTAAAACGGTGAGATAAAAATCGACAAAACAACTTGATTCAATGTTTTTGAACGATACTGACGTCGGCCATCTTGGAGGTCTGCGTGTAACAGCGGATGGGGGTAAATGGGCCACAGGAAATGACAATAATTCAATGTTTTTTAGCCCAGAATACTGCGCACGATGAGACAAAGTGCCCCCATGTTTTTCGTGCATGTCTCGACTTTCCACCACCTAAAAAACTAACAGTAAAAACCACTGTAGTACCTAATATATATCTTCAAACCAGCTAAAAATTACAACTCCATAATATAAAACCCTGTATTAAAATAATCTTTTTTTCTTTTTATCAACACACTGCCTTTTGTTCCACATTTAAAACATACACACAGCGCCCCTGTAAGACTTTGCATAGCATATAGTCACCACTAGGGGGAGTCCAACACCAGCTTTTGCCCATTTCACAGGACCACATCTTGCCTTATTTAAGTACCTCTGATATCACTATTGCATTGATATTGAGCACGAGGTATAACTTACTACTGTACTGCAGGAGCCAGATTCTCACTGCTATTTTAAAACAAAGAATTAGTGTTATAAAATACGCATGTAAGCAGACCTAAGCTAAATCCTCAGGTTTACCAAAATACTGCTGCTATATTCGTCACAAGATGGTCCCTGTAAGCTTCGTACACGTCACTTTGCACATTCAAAAGAAGCAAAACACACGGGAAAGCCGGCATTTGGGGCCGCGAGCACTTGTGGCTTTGCTTGTTTGGTAATTAGTGAAGAAGGCACAAGAGATAAAACTGCCAGAATAAGACCATAAAAAGTCTCTTCCGAAAGTAGGCAGGTCCAGCAAAGACGGAGTGAACAAAAACGGGGTTACGGTCGGCTTCACTTGTGTCCATAGAAGCAAACAATAATTAAAAGTGATTTAGGAACAGCGCCCCCTATCCAAAGTCTTGATACCAGTCTTTTATAAAGTCTTTCTCTCTTGACAGTTTTTTTTGTTCATTCCTGGGATTGTGCAGGTAGTTTTTTTTATCTCCAATGAGGGACGAGCAGAGCCAGGAGTAGAGCGGAGAGCGCCAAAAGCAGACTGCCCCGCCTGGAGGCCGCGGCGTCGGACGGTCCCTTTGCCACTGGGACGAGGCGCGGGACCTGGGGGGTGCTGAAGTAGATGTCCTGGTCCGTAGTGCATGAGGGAGGGTCACAGCCGCTGCCGCTCTCCCCCTCCTCGTCCCCGCTGCTGGCCTCTTCGTCTGGACAGAACAAACACACACACAATCAATCAATCTGTATTTGCTTCACAGTCAACATCATCATCATAATAATAATAATAATAATAATAATAATACATTGGTTTTATACAGCGCTTTTCAGGAATAGAGTCACACAAGGCACAAATCTCACATAAAACAAACACCAAAATCACCATTATACACAAAACATTAAAATCACATGGGATTAAAATAATAAAAAAATAGATAAAATCCTTCAGTTAGAAAATCCTTCATGTATTAAAACGTAGAGAAACAACAACAACAATGACAAATGTAATAACTATAGAGTCTCAAAACAGTTGGGTCTGATTCACATGCATGTGTTTTAACCTCTGTCACAGCTTTACATCTGCTTTTTTACACAGAAAAGGTAAAAAGTCAATCAGGCTGAGCCCAAAGTGTCAAATAGTGACTCGCAGGGCTCTTACTTACACGTAATCACAAAAGATAACATGTTTTCTTATGAGATGAAATGATATGAAAAGGTTCTAACCCTGTTTCAACATTTCTCCCTCATCCAGAACATCCAGATCTGTGCATGCTAATTTCAGGAACTTCTGGTAGTACCATGTGTCCCTGTCCCTTCTGTGCCAACGCTCAAGTCTCAAACTTCTCTCCCGTACTCTAGGATTTGTTTTCTGCCTCAAAATTAGTTTTGACAATTTCTCTGGTGGAATCACTTTCTTTACAAGCACATAGCAAGTTTTTAATTTTTTAATTTTTCCAGATTGTTATGTTTGATGTTGAAAAATAAAACAAAACAAAAGATATTCTACTTCTTTCAGGAGATAGCATTGAATATTGGGCGACACTGAGGACACTGCAGACTCTAAACTGCATCTCTGGTTTCCACTGACAACATACTAATCTTTCCATTTACACATTATAAATATAGAAACATTGTTATATTTTCTCCTTCTGCCACTGATGTGAAACCTGTAGTGACGTCTTTATATCTATATTCAAACAAATGTGTGGAAATGAGACTAAACGGTGTAAAGTCCTCACCTGTCTCAAAGGAGATGTCGTTGCCGCTGTGCGCCGCTTTGAGCCAGCTGGTCATCTCCTTCAGCACCGCGATCTGACTCCGGATCACGATGTCCGGCTTCGTGATGTCCACGTCCACATCCGGGTTCGACACCTGATTGGCCAGGCCGTTGCCGATGACAACAGACTCGTATCTGTCAATAAAAAAACACTAAGGTTAGTCATGTGTAAATGCTGGTGTGATTTTAGGCTTAATCACCCAATCATCAAAGAGTATGTTTAAAAGCACTAGAGAAAACCAGATCACTGTAGTCCGATTTAATTTAACTGGATCCTACTGAGACATGACCAACAGATGCATTTAAGAGCACCACCTAAAATGTCACCGATCGAAACCACCCTCCCAGGAAGAAATGGTTTACGGTTATAGATGGACTAGAAATGTATGTGTTTCTATGCATTCACATTATTTCAGTCTTGTCACGTGCGGCAAAAGCAAACATTAAAAATGATGTTTCATTGCACTTCAATTTAATTAAATCAATAATCAGACTTTCTTTCCAATAATAAGGCATCAAGAATTTTTTCCCACTTTTTCTGTGCTCAACATAAATAATAAAGCTTGCAGTATATATAGATCTTTCGTTACTGGACTTCAATATAAAATGATTCCCTATGAGGAAAAAAATATGTTCACAATCTCTTTAAAAAAAACAGAGTCAATTATTCTAGAAATGTATATTTATGAATAACTGTATTTGTGTTCAGTTTTGTCGTACCTGCTTTTGGCGGTGCCGTTCCAGCACTCGTCTCCGGGGGCGATCCTCTCTCCCGCACACACCGTCTCTGGCAGCGTGGACCAGAACTTTTTAGCATGTTTCAGCCTCTTCTTCACATCCCCCGTCTGACAAAAACACATGGAGTGAGCATTTAAAGGGACGGACAGTGACGGTGAGAAAACAGCAGAGGAGGTGGCTCTTACCAGTCGGTCTAAGCTGGTGCCTGCGGCGGTGGTGGGTCTGGCGTCAGGACTGTAGGGTCTGAAGCGTCCTGTAAACGCCGTCTCTTTGATGGATCGCTTGGTTCTGAAGGCCATGCTGGGTTTGGGCTGCCCACAACCCTGGAACACCTGAAAGAAGAGACACAAGAGAAAGAGTGTGACAAGAGTAACCACATGAACGACCAAAACACGCACAAAATCCAAGTCCTGAACATATACAGTGCCTTGCAAAAGTATTCCTGTTGAACCTTTCAACATTTCAGTCTTCAAACATAAAGATATACAATTTTATTTTTTTGTCATGAATCAACAACAAGTGGGACACAATCGTGAAGTGGAACGAAATTTATTGGATAATTTAAACTTTTTTAACAAATCAAAAACTGAAAAGTGGGGCGTGCAATATTATTCGGCCCCTTTACTTTCAGTGCAGCAAACTCAGTCCAGAAGTTCAGTGAGGATCTTTGAATGATCCAATGTTGTCCTAAATGACTGATGATGATAAATAGAATGCACCTGTGTGTAATCAAGTCTCCGTATAAATGCACCTGCTCTTTGATAGTCTCAGGGTTCTGTTTAAAGCGCAGAGAGAACCATGAAGACAAAGGAACACACCAGGCAGGTCCGAGATACTGTTGTGGAGAAGTTTAAAGCCTGATTTGGATACAAAAAGATTTCCCAAGCGTTAAACATCTCAAGGAGCACTGTGCAAGCAATTATATTGAAATGGAAGGAGTATCAGACCACTGCAAATCTACCAAGACCCGGCCGTCCCTCCAAACTTTCATCTCAAACAAGGAGAAGACTGATCAGCTGTAGTTATCTGCAGTTCATCCAGAGTGATCATAGGCCTCTTGACTGCATCTCTGATCAGTCTTCTCCTTGTTTGAGATGAAAGTTTGGAGGGACGGCCGGGTCTTGGTAGATTTGCAGTGGTCTGATACTCCTTCCATTTCAATATAATTGCTTGCACAGTGCTCCTTGAGATGTTTAAAGCTTGGGAAATCTTTTTGTATCCAAATCCGGCTTCAAACTTCTCCACAACAGTATCTCGGACCTGCCTGGTGTGTTCCTTTGTCTTCATGGTTCTCTCTGCGCTTTAAACAGAACCCTGAGACTATCAAAGAGCAGGTGCATTTATACGGAGACTTGATTACACACAGGTGCATTCTATTTATCATCATCAGTCATTTAGGACAACATTGGATCATTCAAAAATCCTCACTGAACTTCTGGACTGAGTTTGCTGCACTGAAAGTAAAGGGGCCGAATAATATTGCACGCCCCACTTTTCAGTTTTTGATTTGTTAAAAAAGTTTAAATGATCCAATAAATTTCGTTCCACTTCAGGATTGTGTCCCACTTGTTGTTGATTCATGACAAAAAATTAAAATTTTATATCTTTATGTTTGAAGACTAAAATGTGGCGAAATGTTGAAAGGTTCAAGGGGGCCGAATACTTTCGCAAGGCACTGTAGATCTATTGTTGCCACGACAACAAGACCACACAACACTGTCTGAGCTAAACATGTGTTTTTTACTCTGGTTGGTAACATTAAGACCGATTTATTTATGGATGTTTGTGTGGATGAATGTGTTTCTGCTGCTGTACCGTCTATATCTATAATGTCATTATGAAACAACTTATTTTGGGGTGTTTTGTGTGTGAAATGTGTGTACACAGGTTTGAATAATAAAAGTGGGCGGTACCTTCTGGGAGACTTGCATGCTGTTCTCCTGCATGTTCATGATGGCCTCAGAGATCTTCACGTCGATGGGATCCATGACCGACTCGAAGTTAAAGGGCCCCTCCAGACGATCGGCCAGGTTCAACATGGCGTCTGCAAAATTACATTCAGGAAACATTAGAACAGGGAACGCCAACCTTTTCTATCAGACAGCTACTTTTACAAAACAGACATGGCTTTTGTGGTGATAATAATAATGTCTTGATAACATTTGTTTTCAAGACAACGCTATATGTTCAATTCAAAACATTTCATATCTGTATTCATTCTGACTCATACTGTTTTATTTCTAGATCATTTACATTTCATTTGTACATATTTGTGGATTCACTGAAGAAAATGAGTAGACACACATCATGGCCACCAGAGGGAGCCACAGCTTTTCATTTAAACCCAATTTTGAGGCCTTGAAGTTCGGGATTTTGCAAAAAGCAGATGTCAGAGGAGCTGACAGTAGCAGAGAGAGAGATGGGTGATTTCAACCGAGCGGAAAACTAGAAACAGATTTTTATCCGTGGACTTTGTCATATAAAATAAAGAACATATCTTTATTAAAATACCACAACTCTTTATCCTCCTCCGTTTCTACAAATGAAAACGATATGTGTTCCAGTGTTTACCACACAAAGGCCTTCATAGTTTAGGCCCCGCTCCTTCCTGTCCGTTTAAACCAATACGACAGAGAAGACGGGACGAGTTTGGACAAGATTTTTACACAATAAGCACTGATTCTATGGAGTTTATCAGACAGAGCTGGAAGGAAAACAGGAGCAAATACAAGATCACAGTTACTGCCGTTTGGGCTGGTTAAATATAATGTGGAGCCAGATCAAATGTAGATCAGACAGATACTGAATCTGACAGAGCTCAGCAGTGCGACGATTTCTGAATAATTGGAATTTAAGAACAAAAAAATAATTTTAAAAAAGTGTTATTGTTCTTCTGCATCAGAGATTGAGTCTAATGTTATAGATTTCTATGGACAGACACAGATATAGTCTAAATGATCAGTAATTTCAACATTTATTATAAAGCTGGGGTATTCTTGAACAGCCCTAAATCACAACAGTCTGACATTTCCTCTCAGCGGCACAGACACAGGACCTCTTCTTAATCTAGTTTCCTCTGAGGATTTTTACTAAACACAACAAACTTTGACAACCACATGAAGCGGATGATGAAAACCTCACCGAGGAAGTTGTTCCACTCCGTGTCGAGGTCGGCCTGGTTGGCGAGGCAGCCGCGCATCACGTTCAGACAGTAGTTCTGACACGGCTTCAGCGCCACCTGCCCCGAACAGTAGGGGCAGTACAGCATCTTCATAGCGGCGCGGACGCAGCTGGGAGACGTGCTGACCTGAGGGAGAGAACGGGGCAAATAAACAAACCGTCTTATTATTGCAACGCAGTGAGAAATGAAAATATTTGCGGACACATGTGAAAAGGGCTGCAGAGGCCAAAGTCCAAAGTCCAGCAGCAGTAAAAACATCAAAACATAACCATCTATGAACCAAGAGGATAAATATGATCCTGTACTTGCCCTATTGTGCTGCTGTTAGATGATAAACTGCATTTCCCAGCTTTGATTTCACTTTTTAACGACAATAAAGTTGAATCTAATCTAATAGTAATTTTAAAAACATGTATATTTCGGGCCAAAGGACACTGTGCTATTATATACATAGATTATTTTTTTTTTCATCAATAATAGATTCAAAACAGTGCCTCCACTTGACATAACATGTTTGTTTTGTGTCAAAGGAGATGTCAACAACTTCAATTGTATTTTTTTTATATATTTTAAAACATCATAATAGTTAAGTTATTTAGATTGTTAGTAAGGGAAATTTGTCCTCTGCACTTGGCCCATCCTTCATTGTATCATGACTCATGATCATCACAGTGGGACAAATTAAGAATCTCTTCATCTCAATACGGCTCTGTAGTATTGTGTACAATGAGTAATGTATAGAAAACAGTCCCTCCATTTGGCAAAACTATAACCAGTGAGATTTGCTGGAGCCGAATAGTTAAACCAATAATGAGGGGCCTTTTAAGTCTCATAACGATGAATATTAGAACCCCCAAAGCTAATGACTTACTACCTTAAAGAGCGACTAAACACCAAATCCACTTTTTTAAACTCATAAACTGCATAAGTATGTTTATTGTAGTGCTGTCTACATATCCTGGTCATTTTTTTGACATTTTAGTTCAAATTAGATAAAATATCACTTTTGAGCCAAAAAACGCTGTGTGGCGCCCTCTCAACCTTTTTGGTGGTACTACATTTGACTTTGGTTCTGGCCTCTCCATTGACTCTGAAGTTCTCTATGACATCAGTTGTTTTGTGTGACGTCAGTCTGTCAAGAGCCAGTGATGTGAACCCATTCATCTCTCACACACGCCCCAGCTGCAGTTTGGAGTGTTCTGGCGCCATCTAGTGGATTAAAATTAAATTACATGAGTCATTCTGAGATTATTGAGTGTGATTAGGTTCAGGTGTGTAGCTTTACAATTATCTTAGTGTGTAAACAAGGGTGGAATGAGACTTTCTGGTCTGTAAACTATTGCTTTAAGCAGCAATGACAACTGTCTGCTTTTTTTTTGTGTGACAAGTGAGCTGTCAATCACAGCCCAGACCACGCCCAACTCTAAGCCCCCCTTCTTGTCCCTTGGTCCTCCAGGCAACGCCCTTTTTAGAGAACATTTTCAAATCTTCATGTGGGCGGAGTAAGGATGGGCACAGGTGTTTAGTCGCTCTTTAATATTCTTGCACTAGAGTATTATTATTGTTATTATCTGTTATCTTAAATAATAGATCCTGTTTGATGTGTGCAAAACCTGAGTGCTCTTATTTCCTTCTTTTATTCTGCTGTGATGTGAGAAACGATTACATGAAATTTCCACACTGTGGGACGGATAAAGACCAATGTTATCTTATTACAGATTTATCTACAGATGTATACATACAAGTATATATTTCTTGCACTAGAGTACACACTATTTGATAAAGATAGAGATTTTATTTTAAAGTTTTTATATACTTAATATTCACTCCTCCTGTGCTCCTCATTCCCACTGTTCTGTAACTTGCGATGCAACACTGAAATTTCCCCACTGTGGGACGGATGAAGAATTTCTTCATCTTAAGGATTGGAATTAATTTGAACCAATCAGGAGGAGGCTGTGGGCGATGAGTGCAAGTCCACCAAACGTTTCTGATACTCACTGTAGAGATATAAATCCATAATCTAACATGACTGAGTGAACTGCAGCAGATGGAGGTCTTTAAGGTTTGTTCAGGGCAAATTAATTGGTTTTGGCCCATTTTCTCCGCATGGACCGCCATCCAAATTCTTAAGGCTTACGTTTGAACGCTGAGGTTGATGGGAAAATAAATGGTTGGACTATTGTTTTGGGAGACATCCATGAACAAAATTACACTGAGACGGAGCTTAAGTATTCCTGCAGGCGCATTTTCAGTGAATGATGCAAGCTCCGAAAGATTATAAAAAGGAGAGCGTTTTAATATACCCCAGCATACTGCAAATCCATAACGGTTTGGATCAGACACAGAGCAAGAATTACAGTGCCTTGCGAAAGTGTTCGGCCCCCTTGAACCTTTCAACATTTCGCCACATTTCAGGCTTCAAACATAAAGATATAAAATTTTAATTTTTTGTCATGAATCAACAACAAGTGGGACACAATCGTGAAGTGGAACGAAATGTATTAGATAATTTAAACTTTTTTAACAAATAAAAAACTGAAAAGTGGGGCGTGCAATATTATTCAGCCCCTTTACTTTCAGTGCAGCAAACTCACTCCAGAAGTTCAGTGAGGATCTTTGAATGATCCAATGTTGTCCTAAATGACTGATGATGATAAACAGAATGCACCTGTGTGTAATCAAGTCTCCGTATAAATGCACCTGCTCTTTGATAGTCTCAGGGTTCTGTTTAAAGCACAGAGAGAACCATGAAGACAAAGGAACACACCAGGCAGGTCCGAGATACTGTTGTGGAGAAGTTTAAAGCCGGATTTGGATACAAAAAGATTTCCCAAGCTTTAAACATCTCAAGGAGCACTGTGCAAGCAATTATATTGAAATGGAGTATCAGACCACTGCAAATCTACCAAGACCCGGCCGTCCCTCCAAACTTTCATCTCAAACAAGGAGAAGACTGATCAGAGATGCAGACAAGAGGCCCATGATCACTCTGGATGAACTGCAGATAACTACAGCTGAGGTGGGAGAGTCTGTCCATAGGACAACAATCAGTCGTGCACTGCACAAATCTGGCCTTTATGGAAGAGTGGCAAGAAGAAAGCCATTTCTCAAAGATATCCATAAAAAGTCTCGTTTAAAGTTTGCCACAAGCCACCTGGGAGACACACCAAATATGTGGAAGAAGGTGCTCTGGTCAGATGAAACCAAAATCGAACTTTTTGGCCACAATGCAAAACGATATGTTTGGCGTAAAAGCAACACAGCTCATCACCCTGAACACACCATCCCCACTGTCAAACATGGTGGTGGCAGCATCATGGTTTGGGCCTGCTTTTATTCAGCAGGGACAGGGAAGATGGCTAAAATTGATGGGAAGATGGATGGAGCCAAATACAGGACCATTCTGGAAGAAAACCTGTTGGAGTCTGCAAAAGACCTGAGACTGGGACGGAGATTTATCTAACAACAGGACAATGATCCAAAACATAAAGCCAAATCTACGATGGAATGGTTCACAAATAGACGTGTCCAGGTGTTAGAATGGCCAAGTCAAAGTCCAGACCTGAATCCAATCGAGAATCTGTGGAAAGAGCTGAAGACTGCTGTTCACAGACGCTATCCATCCAACCTCACTGAGCTCCAGTTGTTTTGCAAGGAAGAATGGGCAAGAATTCCAGTCTCTCGATGTGCAAAACTGATAGAGACATACCCCAAGCGACTTGCAGCTGTAATTGCAGCAAAAGGTGGCGCTACAAAGTATTAGCGCAAGGGGACCAAATAATATTGCACGCCCCACTTTTCAGTTTTTTATTTGTTAAAAAAGTTTAAATTATCCAATAAATTTTGTTCCACTTCACGATTGTGTCCCACTTGTTGTAGATTCTTGACAAAAAATTTAATTTTTATATCTTTATGTTTGAAGCCTGAAATGTGGCGACATGTTGAAAGGTTCAAGGGGGCCGAATACTTTCGCAAGGCACTGTAAGTACGAGCACATTTAAGGTCTGTTTTAAAAATGCGCTGTGTAACCGGACCAAACAGAGTCTTAAAACAGTATTTACATGGCAGATTTATTAGTATGTTGTACAGGTGAGCAGACTCGCCTCTCCGCAGACACAACCTGTAACTAGTGCTTGCCTCTAATGTGAAGTTTAAAGCCATACGGTGGAACATTCCAGGCAAAATGGCAAACGGATGACGGAGCCTCCACCTGGACTCGATCTATACGGCCTCAACATCGGTAAATTACAAAAGTTTTCAGGCCAGGCTCCTGTCTCACCTTCTGACTATTTCCACCCGTTTTAAATAATCTGTGAGTTCAGTTTAAAGTTTTTACAACTGTAAGACCTGACGAGTTTGAGGGTGAAGTCATCAGGAGTTAATTGCTTATCTATATATTGGCCACTTGTTTTTAAGTATTGTATAATCAAACTTCCTTTCACACAAAAACTATATATATTTTCTAAACTGTGACCTTTTCTAAAAAACTATTACAATATGCATTTTGTAAATAGAGTACTCAAATAATCAAACATGATAAATAAACTCCATATTTTGTATGTTATACATACTCAAAAAATGAGTTAGAATTGTTAAAAAATCCATTTATACTTAAAACATGAAACCAATACATATGATATAGACTTCTTAGATGCAAAGTTACATATGCCAAGCCTTTGTAATGATATGGATGTTTATGGCTTAAATTAACATTTTCTGAGTTGTTTGATATGTTGTTACAAGCTGTGAGCCAACATAATACTGCTATTAATAATAATAATAATAATAATAATAAAGACTTGTTATATCTCACTTTGCTTGTGATGGGTCTGTGTATTAGTGTCACGTAGTAGGCTGATGCAGAAGTATATATATTTTTATCAGGGCGCCCAAGTCTTCCCTCTGAAGACTTGTACTGTATGTTGTCATTTCCTATGTATTTTCGTGCCTAGGGACTACGGATGAAAACTAGCTTGGTGCCTATAATCCGGCACATTTACATTTGTTTTATACTGATGTTCATTAATGTACATTGTCCCTATCAAATAAATGTAAATAAATCCCTTTCGGACAATACTCACCATGGACACCTTGTTGACCACCTCTGGCATCAAGGACAGGCCTTTGGTGAAGGTCCTGGCGGCGACGAAGGCCCGGGTGAGCTGGATGCGCAGTTTTCGCGGCACGTCTCCGAACGGCATGAGCTGGTCGGTGTGGCGGCTCACGCACCCCATGTACTCGTCGGTGAACTCGTACTGGACGTTGACGAGCCGGAACATCCTCTCCAGCAGCTCGGCCCAGAAGTCCGACAGCATGGACTCCAGGTTGATGGCCGCGCTGCCGCTGGAGTAGTACCGCGTCAGGTCCTCGAAGAACTTCTTGAAGAGCTCGGCGTTCTGGACGTACATCATGCCGTAGGTGCGAACGAACATGTTGTGCAGAGAGCTCTCGGCGTTCTTCAGCAGCTCGCGGAAAAACTCTGGAAAAAAAAGACATGAGGAAGAGGTTAGCGATGATGACGAAGGGGTGAGGCGCGATTCTAAAGCATTGATTGAACAAGGCCATAATGAGGTTTCCAATTTAATTTCAATTCATTTTGATTTATTTTTTGTACAGACGTAAATCACAACAGTGGTCATCCCGGAGGACTTTACAAAACCGTCAAATATTGTCAACACACATCCGAGAGTCAAGGAGTTCAAACACAAGAAATGCAATGATTAAAAACCACCATTGAGACATTGGTCCATAAGTAAGTAAGTAATGTTTATTTATATAGCGCATTTTACAGACTAAGGTCACAATTGTAAAGTGCTGATTTCTGAGCACTTTACTTTTTTTCAGAAATCAGATACTTTTCCAATCACTCCACACCCGGTGATGACGGAAGTGAGTCGCCGAACACACTGGACCATCAAAGCCCCCAACCAGTACCATCCATTCACTCACTCAATACAATCATACCTCTTGTGGGGCAATCATATCAAAGTGCCAAACTGCCGTTGTGTCCTTAGGCAAGACACTTTACCCACATTGCCTAGCATGAGTCTGGTGTGTGTGTGTAAATGGTTGGTGGTGGTCAGAGGGGCCAAAGCCACATACTGGTTGCCTCGCTTCTGTCAGTGTGCCCCAGGGCAGCTGCGGCTACAGTGGTAGTTTATCACCACCGTGTATGGAGTGAATGAATAATGACATGTGAATCTTCTTTATATATATAAAACTACTTTATTATTATGAGACATTTGTAAGGAACTAGTTTGAAGTTTTTTTATGACATAGTTCCATGTTTGTGTTTTGAAAATGTGTTACTTTTGCTAAAGCAGCTATACAAGTGATCTGGACTTCTGTCGGTCACGATTGTGTATCTGCTGTGATTGTGTATCTGCTGTGATTGTGTATCCGCTGTGATTGTGTATCTGCTGTGATTGTGTATCCATGTTATGACTCTGATTTGTTCTGATTGTTTCTTGATGCGACACGTATGCCTTTCTATGTGACGTAACGAATGGCGATAAAAACCATGCTCTGACTTTATTCTCAGTTTCTTTCAATTTTTTCAGTTTTTTTTTCAGACAGAATAAACTTCCGGGCAGCTTTGGTTAATTTTCCACACTTTCATTTTAATGCAGCAAATATTTTACGAAAGAATCTCCACCAACAGCAATGTCGTTTTCCACCAACATTTCACATGGAGATCAATCTTTTGAATTTCACTTCAAACATTTAAAGATAATGCACGATGTGATCCGGACTTGGCCTGATGCTTCCCGTTTGCATCTTGTGTGTCTTTGAAATGCAAAGTTAAAAACGAGGAGGGAGGGGGTGGTTTGGAGCGGAGCTGTCACTTCCACTTCAGACTGACATGTTCAAAAGGAGGAATGTCCCAGCGGAGGGGTCAGACGGGGGAGGGGGGCGGGGAGCGGTGCATTCTGGGAGGAGCCAGGGGCGGTGTACATGCAAAAGACCCCACTGTGTCGCCTAGGTGACCGGAAACATTCTGATCCGGGATGGAACCACCCCTCGCTCCCCCCTCCCACACACACAACAGTCCTTCTTCCTCTGCTCTTCAATACAAGAACTTAGGGCAATAATGCAAGTCACCAATTACTGGTTAGTAATATTAATATTTATTCTTAGCCCACCTCAAATATATGGTCTATGGCAACCATTCCCAAACTCAGTAACACCGAGGCCCCCTTAAAATTCTGACGGGTCTGCGTGGCCCCCCAAAATAATAACCAAGAAGACAACATTAAGAATAGGCTCTTCTGGTTATTTTATTTTGGGGAAATAGCCTCTGCTACAAACATTGTAATACAAAAATGATTACAGTGGATTATTCAAGTCAAATAATGAACACAAATATTTTAATATTACAAACAAAACATTATAAATTTAACATTAAATAATTATATTTTTTTTTTATGACCTCCCGCGGCCCCCTGCAGTACCCTCGCGGCCCACCAGGGGGCCGCGGACCCCACTTTGGGAGAGACTGGTCTATGGTGTAAAGGTGATACCATGATCTGCAATGACAGCACTTTGTTGTGGTAAAGGTTATGTTGGAGTCATAACACATTGTTGTAGAGAAGGTTCTTTTAATAATTTCCTAAGCATTTCACGACATTAAAAGACATAATGAACTTTACCTATGATTGGTAAAGTTGGAAAAGCACTTACCAACTTTACATTGTCTGCACCTTTGTTTTGGGTAAAAATAAAAACAGGTAAAGGCGTCTTGAGCAAAAGCAAATCTGTTCCTTACAATACAACAGTTTAGGGTAATATTGCAAGTCACCAATTACCGGTAGTTACTGTAGGTTATGGCCTGAACATAATGACACTAAAATCATACAGCCAATATGAGCTCTTTAGCGCCACCTGTCGCAAAGTAATAGGGCACTAGTGCTCCGATCGGCTTGAGAAATATGCTGAGTGTAATCTCTGTAAGTCCCACACCTGACCACTGGGGGCGCTCTGAAATGTTTGAATGAGCTTTTTGGGGAGTGAAAAAAAAAATGTGATTCTGAGAATGCCAAACTACAACCAATGAGTCCTTTAAACAGGGGAATTACTTAATTAAACTTTTATTTAGCTACAAATGTGCGGTTAGCTGTATGGATTGAACCTTCGAGAATGTGTAGGTCTCAAGCCGTCGCCCAGACTTAAGACTCCACTGACAAAAACCAAAACACGGCGTTCCCAAATCAACGGACTATAAAAAGATCTGCGTTGAGTTTGTGCATGTTTAAGTATCGCTGGCAGGGAACGGTTAAAGGTTATTTCAATCCTTGTAAACGAGAAAGCCGAGGCGGCCTTCAGGACGTCCCAGTGGAGCAGGAGGGGGAGGGGGTCTGCATGGTGGTGGTGGTGGTGGTGAGGGGGAGGACCCGGGCGTCTTGCATTGTCATTAAAAACCCTTTATGACATGCAACGAGCGCTCTGCCAAACGCCGTGAACCCGAGTCTCACAGGAGAGATTTTCCTTTGAGAACGCCCAAGAACCGGCGCAGGACGGGGAAAGAGTGGGCGAAAGGTGACACCGGAGTAGCAGGCTCCGAAAGCTCAGAAATGTAAAGAATTGTGTGGTGTAAAACGTGTGCTCTGTTCTGGATTTAAGCCTGCCGCGATTATTACCATGACAACTCATCGCTCAATAACTCGTGGAAGAAACGATGGACGAAGGGGAAACCCGGAAAATTAGAATTGGGTTTCAAATGTTCAGTTATTTCATGACTCAATGTGAAACTAATATTATATAGATTCATTAAAAAACAAATATACAGGTTTTACAAGCTGTGAGCATAATGATCAATATGATATAACAAATATGTATGTGATATATCTCATTTTGTGTAGTTGTTTTGAAAAAAAAAAAATAGACTTTCAGGCTCAATTTTCAACAATGCAATAATCGGTCATCTCATTTATTAAAGAATTGTTAATCACACCCTTATTTCATTTTTAAATATGTATCTTCTTTAGAGTTTTCTTTTGCAGCAGTAGACAGCCCCCGCCCCTTAAAACCAAGTTAGCGATTCACAGATTTTGATTTCCGTTGACAAAAAAACCTCCGCGATTATATCAGATCCACAAAAAGGAAATGGGAAAACTTCCAAAACAACTTGAAGCTTGTAACTATCGAGAGGAAAACATCTAAAACACGGATACCTTTTGGAGTGACAAGAAATACAAAGAAAACTGACGAACAATCATTTGTCAGAAGCTTAAGTTTTGATCCAGTTCAGTTCCAGCTTTTAATAAAAGTAACAGTACATTTTTCCCCCATTCTTTCATGCCTCTATGTATTTGATTGCTCATGTTTAATCGCTATGGCAACAGCCCCCACCTCTCATCACACTGAAAACCAAATCATGGAACAGAAGAAAACGCCCATCCTAGTTTTTTTTCTTCTTTCTCCCCTCGAACTGATCAGAGCAAAATCCCAACCCTGATGCGATCGAATCTGATCAGACGCCCAAATCTGATCTGAATCGATTATTTGAGTTTGTCAACATTTCCACTTGTTGCGGAGTCTTTAGAGCAGCTTTTCCATGACATTTAGAGTAACTTGACCCTCCGATCGCCCCCGTCGCCGTCTGCCAAGCCGCCATTTAGACAGAGGCACAGAGCGAAGGCCAAAAAGAAGGAGCCAAACGCAGCAGAATATCACTGATGACATGGAAAGTGAGCAAAATCCAATAATGAGACGCCATTTTCAACTATATTCAATCATTACGTCAACTTAATTATAGCTTCAAATTTAGTGTGTGTGTGGATAGTTTAGTTTATTAGTCAGAAGAAAATAAATTTAACAATCCACAAAAACTGTACTTGGGATAGGCTTAAGTTGGCCCAACTATAACCAAAACATTTCAAATTGAATTCTTAGCTCTGAACAATAGTGCATATATATTGACCAACATATCAAAACAATATTTACCTAAATCCCACCAAATGATCCATCTATACATTGGAATCAATCATATTTATACTGTTCTACCGGTATTGTCATTTTACCCACAATATTTGAGCGTATTGTGTTTTATTACTGTATGACAGTTTCAATTATCAAAACAATCAAAAAGGCAATTCATTTCCTTTTTCTAGAGCTTTATATTTCCCAAATTGTGCTGAATTGAACTGGAGCATTTTAAAGCATCATCCAGGCCATTCCCAACCTGAAAACTCCTACTTTTTAACCCGCTTCTCACATTTCCGTTCTGAAAGACAGATGAGGTCATAGGGACTTTGGGTCACTGTTTATTTTTGTTTATTTCGACTTTATACATGTTAAAATGAACAACATGGCATATGGTCCATCTGAAGATAAAAACACTTTGGGGGTAGTAAATCAGTCTGCTACAAAAGGGAAACTACTGTATCCCACAAAGAGAAACCACTATAAAAGGATTTGAGTGATGATCTGTGTCTCAATCCATCATGATCCTGTGTTTCCCTCCCACTTCCTCTTGCCCCC